TCAACATCTTTTTAATCTTATTCCAAATGCTGCCTGATCCAACTCCATGAAACTTCAAACACAGAACATTGTCTCTTGCCCTTCTATCTAAAATGATGGTGACTCAAATTTTGGCCATTTAGCTTAGAAATCAATGTAATTTATTGCTGTTATAACTATATATAATCCCACCCATGCTGGACCAGATGCAAAGAGGCTTTGTTGCTGTCATTCTGATTTTTCTGCTTTCATTTGGGTAGATATATTTGTAGTCATGATTTTGGAGATAAACCAGTAAAAAACAATAGCTCATTTTTCCTCTACGAGATATATTGTCAGATCATTGCTTACAAAGGGTTGGTGTAAATGTCTGCACCACAGTAATGATGCTGAGTTTTATATTTAGATTCAAGATAGGGAGATTTCAAGGGCATGGCAATTTAGCTATATATGGGTATGGAATCAATGTCATAAAATTGGTCACAAAATTTTTTATGACACAGAAAGAGCAAAATGTCTTTTTCTTTTCTTTTTTTTTAAGGAATAAAAGTGCTTCTAGATCTCTTTTGGAATAAAGTACAATTTTCAGGTTCACATTTGAAAGGATTATTAATGCCATTTGCAAACACCAACAAAATAGACTGAACAGAGAGATCCCTCCGGAAAGAGGTTAAGCAAATCATTGAATTCTCCAATCAATAGGAGAGAACATCTAAATTTCAGCTTCACGTCATTGTATTCTCCGGATCACCACGAGATGAGCAAACACAGAACATTAAAGAATGCTTAAGTACTGACTGACACAGAATCTGGTATGTCCTCTACCTGGAAGCCAGATGTAGCCTCTAGGATTTTCCAGAAGACATTCTAGAAGAGGTTGCTGCCATTGACACCCAAGAAAGGCAATTGTTCCCCTTGGGAAAGAACTTTCTATGGAATTTAGGCCCTGGGACCAAAACCTACAAGGCATTTATTACTAGGTGATATGATAATTTTAGTAAAAGTTGCAATAACCATGAAAATAGTGTCTTTAAAAATCTATGTACTATTAGTAACAATGCATGCATAGTGCCAAGCATTCATTAACTATTTGGTCATAAAAATATGTGACTATAATTATGATATTTACAGCCAATGTATAAAAATACATCTAATTCTGAATGGCAATGGTTAATCTCTAGCTCTAACCACCAGCCTAGAAAGATTAGCTTACTATGGGAAGGTGCAATGGGTAATTACACAATGGACAAAGCTCTCACTCTCTTGAATTCAACCTTCAAGAATGGCTATTATAGCAACATAGGAGCTTCATTTGTCACAATTCTTCTTCTAAGCTCACAAGGTAAACCCAAAAATTCTGTGGGAATAAATAGGAATTAAATGGGAAAGGAACACTCACATGATACAACCACAGTGGAGAATAATTCTTTCATAGAATATTCATGCACAACTTTCAAAGAGGTTCACAGTCCCTGAACGAATTAATTGGATGACCTTTAAGTACACCCTTCATTTAGAAAAAAGTCAGTAAGGTTGAAGGTAACATATGATTACCTTTAAGTATAACAGGTTAAGAATTTAACTTGTAGCCAAATCTCTTTCTACAATTTAAGTGAGTACTTCTTTGAAGCTTTATTAACCATTGTGGAGAGTAAGCTCTTATGGTTTCTCCAATTTAAATATAAATTCTAATGGAAGAAAACAAATCCACATTCAGTTTCAATTGCGAAAAGCTGTGGTTTTTACAAACTTGAAACCTCTCACTTTAAGGAAAAAAACATCTTCCAACAAAATAAAATATTCTACATATCTGAGACATTTCCTGAAGGTTTCTTCTCTTCTAGGAGTTGATTGACCATCTTCTAGCAGTAGATAAGTTCCTTATTTGAACACCATCATTATTTCACAAGTGGACAAAAAACAGGAGGAAATTTAAAAAAACAGGGAGAATTGCACACAAGCTATTGAAAAAGGCAGAGGTTGGGTGTTAATCTGCAAATCATGATCTCATATTTTAGAATGTATTTTGGCATTCAGTAAATGGAATTCTTGGAAACATCTGTTCCAGAGTGAGGTTGGGAGGTCATATGATGCTGTTAGAGTCTTCCTGGACTTAAATTACTGCCTGGGGCTGAGTTAGGGCATTTTGAGTGGTATATTCCAGAACGAGAAATTCCATTTCAGTAATTTATTGCTACAGTTCACTAAAGAGTACCATGGTATCCTGGAAAAGAAAAGTCCTTCTAAAACTCCACACCTCTAGTCACTTGAAAAATGAGAAATTCATACTTATCTTTGTCACTCTAATCCTTGAAGATATAGCTCTCAAAAGAACTCTTTTTCCTCTTCCAAATAGACACTATGTAAATGACATTAGAAATATCAATGGTTTGGCAATATATGCCACTATCCCCACATGCATTTGGCAACTGACATGCTGGATTCTTTCTTTATGTATCATCCTGCAACCTTCTGTGCATGTGCAATTGTAGGTAATTAAGGAAAAAATAGACAAGCTTTTTAAAAATTGGTAAACGCTTGGGAGTATGGCATGACCTGGAAAGACGTAGAATGATATGATAATGGATTTCCTCAGGTGATTACCTCTTATCTTTTGAAAGAGATGTAAAGAGGGGTAAAACAAATCTTCACAAGTAATGAGTAAACTGTGAAAGAAGAATCCCGCCTCCACCCCCACCCTCCACCAAAAAAACACACCCAGTTCTTCAGAAATTTCTGCTTCAGATATGAGATCATGGTCTGCATGACTACTAGTGCCAAACGCCAGTTCATTCTAGTAGAGCAGTTCAGGAGGTAAAAGGCTAGGGTTATCTGTTACATGACTTTACATATAATGCAAGAATAATAACCCTATGTTTATGGCAATTATTTTCCATACTCGATCTATTGATATTGTGACCAGATGAACACAATTGAAAAGACATACATCATTTCTAACAGGAACTCAATTGCGTCAAGGTAGGACAAATCAAACTCCATTTAATAAATTAAAGTTTGGCTAAAGTGTTTTTTTTTATTTTATTTTAGAAACAGTTCTCCTTCCCCTTAATATTGCAGTAAACTCTTTATTTGTAAAAGGTACACTGTTTTATTACTTCATTCATCCAGAAAGTTGATTTCCAAAGACTACATCTACTATATCTCTTTTCTGAACTTAACTGAGCCCAGGAGATTGACTTTTTCCTTTTTTTCCCCCCTTAGATTTAATATTTGAGATTCAATTAAAATATACAACCAAAGTTAGTGGAAAACAGTTGCTCTTTTTCAGGTAAAAGAGCTTACTAACAGATTTTATAATCATTGGATATTTGTTCAGTCCTACCTGAAAAGTAACTTATTCTACTACTTGGCACAGGAAAAGGCATTTTCTAGTAACTTTCTGTGACAGGAAGCACAGCATTAATCCAAGTAAGCATCCAACAGACTTAGTCTATCTGCTGGGGAGCAGTTCTAAACTTTAGCTTTTAAACTTTTTTTGAAAAAGAATTCAGCCATCATTCCAATTACTTGCCACCTGTGGAAAGCTACAATCACCCTAGAAGGTGGGCCTACCAAGGAGCACTTTTCAGGTAACAAGAACAATGATACGGCAAGAAGCTACAAAATGATATTTCAATAGTTGCAGTGACCACCACAATAGTGAGCGTGGCTTGGGTTAGTGTTCCAAATATCAATTCAAGGAACACAAGATATTTTATAGGATTAGAATATTTTCTTTACTCTGAGAACCAATAGATGGTGCATGATGAATGGTGATGGTCCATTTACTCTATATCATTCTACTAGTTTCCTAGCTATGCCTCCTTTCTTCTATAGTAATGTTCTCTCTTCCATGGCAGTATATTTTTATCATCTAAAATGAGAACACTATAACTATTGCATTCTCTCTCTCTCTCTCTCTCTCTCTCTCTCTCTCTCTCTCTCTCTCTCACACACACACACACACACACACACACACACACACACTAACTAGCGCACCCTTATACACACATGTATAGACAGTACATATAAAATGCTCATTTGCCGTGGTTGAGCTCTCTGAAAGCAGCCAAATCAGCCTCCTTAATTACAGAGAACCATTTAAAGCCAATCATAAAAAACATGTCAACTATTTAGCTCTAACACAAGATTTTAAACCTTGTCCATGTGGCAATTAATTCATATGTCCTTGGTATTTTTTTTGCTAAGTCTCCCAAAGCAAGAATCTCAAAGACTGACAATATGATACATAGAATCTAATAGAGTCACATCTCTGATCATTTTGCTTAACACAGTTGAATGATAGTCTTGCTGCTGAAACACGAGTTGATTTTGAATGGCCACGAAGGCTCCTTATTTGGCTAAGGCTGATTTGACTTTCTAGAGAAAGACCAGCCTATCTGCAAATGGACATCTCCCTCCACACAAATGCCAATGTACAGTAAAGACACAACTAAGTGCATATATATATATATATATATATATATATATATATATATATATGAATGAAAGTATATGTACACAGAAAATGGATTGGGAAGTCCTTTGGTTTAGACGGGATTAAATATGTACTTCCCAAATGCATAGGTTTCCTTTGACCAACCTGTTCAAAAAACAAATATGAAAAATGCCACGACAGTTTTGACATTTTCTATGTCTGTTTCCCTATTTGGAGGCCCCCTTCCCTCTCTTCTCCACCTCTCCTAAGCATTTTCTTTTTGAAAGTAGTTGGTTCTTTTGGACTTCTAACACTTCTTTGACCCATCCATTCCTTGGAAGAGCTCTAAGATCACATCCAGAAACTTATCTTTAGTGGAGAACAAGGTGGAGAAGAAGGTTTCCCCTTCTTTGATTCCCTCTTTCCCCCAAGAAGTGGACACCTTGATGTGTCATGAGGAATTCACTCTTGATCTGACTTGCCTTGTTACCCCTGGCCAGCCCAAGCAGCTGAGGTCTGAGCTTGACTCGCCCTGCATCGTTGTGCCATACTGGAAAAGAAAAATAATCCATTAGTTACACCTTCAGACTGTGGTGACGTGATCAGGATTCTCTTGAATTTCTATGCATTCAATTTCCTCTCTCTCCTTTCGCTTGGCACGTTTCTTTTTCTTATGGTGCTTTTTGGAAGGGGGGAAAAAGGTTAGGAACACGGGTAAGATAACAAAACAGTGCAGAAGTGTGCAACCCCCGGTGAGCAGCAAGCATTTGAACAGTGTGAAGGTCAGGTTCGAAGGCACAAATAGGAGGGGGACCAACCCGATAAGAAAAGAAGTAATATTTTGCAAAATGGCTGTCCCATGCTCTTGCAGGGAGATTTTTATACATTGTGTTCGGGTGTGCTCAGTTGCTAATACAAATGTGTAAAGCAGTGGTGCACAGTGGTCAATGGCGAAATTTAAAGTGTAGATAAGGCACAAGATAGAAATGCAATCCATGTCGACGTTCCATAATGTCATTAAGCCCAGGACCCCCAGCTCAATTGAGGTGACGCTAAGAATTAGCCAGAAGTTTCCCAGAGGGTGAATCACTAGGAAAAAAGTCAGGATTAACACCAGGAGAACACCAAAGCCTGCAATCAGAACAGGCACAGTGACCGACAAGCCGTAATGGTCCATGAACACAAAGGAGGGGTTGAACACGATGAACCGGATGCTCTTTGACAGGGACAGGGGCCTCAGCTTTTCCAACACTTCTATGACTTCCTTCTGCTTGTCTCTGCTAGTCCTGGCCACCAGGTACAAGCGAGAAGCGATGATGTTGCTCTCATCCCCTGCCTTGGAGAAGATGATGTCATTGCGAAAGTGCTGGAATTCTGGCTTTTTCAGAAATGAACTCTGCAAGACACTGATAAAGTCGCTCTTGTTATTGGCACTGATGTTGCTGACTTTCAGGAACTGGTAGTACTGCTCCACCCAGGACATTGCAGTAAACCCGCTGCAGAGTCTCCGCAGGTCCTCCTGGACGGTGCTGTTCCAATACTGGAGGGGCTCATAGACGTAGAAGCCTATCACGGGGCTGTAGTTGCTGAAATATTTCTGCTGGACCGTGGCATAGGAAACGCTCGGGGAATCACTGGCTAGCAGATTGATGATGTTGGCTCTGTCACTGATCTGCAGGCACCCCATGAAGGAGAAGGAGGAGTAGATGAGATAGAGGATGACCACAAAGGGCTTCACGTAGATATTGGTAATCCATTCATTGTAATGCTCACGGAGGAAGTGCTGAATGAAGTGGTGCTGGTAGGGGTTCGTCTCATGGTGGGATGTCTGCTGATGCCCGTCACTCATCATTGTCTGGAACCACACGGGTTTGCGGTCCAGGTATTCTGCAGAAGGGATTTTACAGCAAAAGATGCTGTGGTAGCGGTTTTGCTCTAGTTGGCCAGCGAAGACCAGACAGGAGCCAAAGAAAGAAAAAATGTAGAAGTAGTTTAACAGAATGGAGACGCACATGTTCTGACAGAAGACCTTGACAGCCTCTATGTTTGTGAATGGGCTGGCACCCATGCCAAAGGTAATGAGGTACAGGGAGCTGGTCATGGTATAGGTGACCATCACATCAGAATATGCATCTGCTACCCTGTCTTTGAAGGGCAGGTTTTCTCTGGTTCTCCGCCATCCAGACAGAAGCTCAAATACTCCTTTAGTTCCATGACCTAATTTAAGAAAAGAAGAAGAAGAATTGTTTTTTATTTTCTCCTATGTGAATGCAAGTGCATTCCTGATAGGTTATCTAAGGTAAACAGTACTTTATACTCTAATCCTCCTATCAGATCTCAGCATTTGAGTTACATAGCAGGACATATTTGCTCCCTGTTCCCACTTTAGGAAAGTCCAGATTTGTTTGTTGGAAAAAAAATGAAGTATTTTTTGTCCATTCTATTAATTTGACAAGTTGTAATCTAATGTGGCATTATCTGCACACACACACACACACACACACACACACACACATTGTCTCCTTAAATGGATTATAAATTGTCAAGAGGAGGGGCTGTTGTTCCTGCATCTTCAATGCCCTCCAGCACCAACTCAGTGCTTGATCAACTGATGTATTGACTGATAGTCCCTAACCTCCATTTCAGGCTGATTTACATTCTGATTTAGGAAATTAGATGATTTTAAACACTTAAAAATGGCTTTAAATTGATTTTACAATGTTAATAATATGCTTGGTGGCCAAATGGCTTAGAAACTGATTCCTATAGATTTGATTTACACTGGATGTGTGGAAAAAAAAAAATCTGCCAGGTCATATAAAAGATAAGGCAAGACCATCAGAGCAAGAGATCACAGCCAGCATTTCCTCTGGGCTCCTCAGAGAGCCTTTATTCACAGAGATGTAAACTGACTAAATGTTTGACTGCCTCATTAAAGTACATAGAAAATGCTTCTTTTTGTAGCCAGCTTCTGTGCACATTTTGATAAGGGTAAATAGACAAAAACAGTTTATTCAAAAATACTACTTGAACACCTACTATGCGTCTGAAGCTAATAGATACTGAGATGTTTTATTTCAGGAACTTGACAGCTCTTAAGATACCACCACTTGCTTTTTTCTTACAAAATCAGAAATCATAAAGGTATCATACTATACCTGCAGTTTCTCTCTCTCTTTTTTTCCACTTGCCTGAGTTAGCTCTGTCAATGATCAGCCACGATATATCAGTCGATAACTGTCTGCCTGAATGGAAATCTTCATAGATCAGTCTTGCCCTTGTAGCCATAGCAGCACTACAGACAAACCTTTTCCATGCATGGACAGAAGCTGTGCTTGGGCTGTTCTCCAAGAAATCCACTAGACAAAAAATGTAGCATAGAGGTACCAAATGAACGTGTTTAAGAAAACCTGGAAAATGGACTTTGTATGGCACCTAGAGAGTGGAGTTCTGGGTTATAGACCCAGTTTACTGAGTAGTGCTTTAACAAACATACTATCATGGCTGAGGTCTCACTGTAATCATTGATTTTGTGTTGTTCATAGAGTTTGCTAACTGGCATACATAATTCCTTTCCTTCCTTGTCACTTTTATTTGGGACTACAATGTGCGCAATTAAAAAACTTTATTTCTGCCGAAACCGGTTTGGCTCAGTGGATAGAACGTTGGCCTGTGGACTGAAGGGTCCCAGGTTCGATTCCGGTCAAGGGCATGTACCTGGGTTGCGGGCACATCCCCAGTGGGAGATGTGCAGGAGGCAGCTGATCGATGTTTCTCTCTCATCGATGTTTCTAACTCTCTCTCTCCCTTCCTCTCTGTAAAAAATCAATAAAATATATATAAAAAAAACTTTATTTCTCAGCCATCCTTTAAACTAGATGTGGTTCATGTGACATATTTCTGGATAATGTGATGTCAGAGGAAGTCATTTAAGGATGCTTATTAGAAAACAAGCTGGCACTTTGTCCCAAATGACATCATGGAGCCACCAAAAAGAGCCTTAGCCTATCTTCCTCTTGGATTCTCTTTAAAGAAAATCAAATCTCCATTTGTCTAAACAGCTGTAAGTAAGGCGGTTTTATGCAAGTGAACCTACTCCTAACCAACAAAGTTTTGTAGGTGAGTTAACACCTACCCAAACTTGTTTCATGGGGATCTAAGAATTCTTGCTTTATAGTTAGACCATGGAATTTATAGGTTTAAATGTATATAATGCTGATCTTTGATTTTAAAGATACATTGGCCCACCTACTCTGGGAGTTACTATTAACTATTAATTCTTATTGCACTGGAGTTATTATTCCAAATAAAAACCTATTTATTCTACAAAGTTCTCTCTTCTGGGTCTCTGGTCAGGAAAGATCCTGTAACCGAACAAGTAGAAAGGGTTCTGACAGCAATCTCCCTTCTGGGTATCTACCTCCAAACTCAAAAATATTTATTCACAAAGACATATGCATTGTTCATTGCAACATTATTCACAGTGGCCAAGACATGGAGACAACCAAAGTATCCTTCAATAAAGGGTTGGATAAAAATGATATGGTACATATATACCATGGAATACTACTCAGCCATAAGAAAAGATGAAATACTGCCATTTGCAACAACATGGAGGGACCTTGAGATTATTATGCTAAGCAAAATAAAGGAGTCAGAAAAACCTAAGAACCATATGATTTCACTCATATGTGGAATATAAAACTGAAACTCATAGACACAGACAACAGTATGGTGGTTACCAGTGGGAAGGGGGTGGGAGTAGCAAAGAGTAAAGGGAGCCAAACATGGGGTGACAGAGAGGGTTTGGCTTGGGGTGGTGTGCACATAATGCCATGTGCAGATCATGTGTCCTGGAGATGTACCCTTGAAACCTATACGGCCCTATTAATCAATGTCACCCCAAGTAACTTAATAAAAACATTCCTAACCCAACAGATATGATCAATGAATTAAGTCTAATGATTCTTAACATCAGTTGTTAATTTCCATATTCTGCCGGTCTCCTTGACCGAACAGGATACTTGTTTTCTTATTCCCTTGACAAAAATGTAATATTAGGATATTAGTTAAGGTAATTAAAATAATTATTTAAATAGAGCACTTCTCTTCTGAAATGAGGACTCTTGCTATCTTTGTAGCCACAAGGGGAGGGGAAAGGCTACGTGGGGTTATAGCTAAATTTGTCTTACCTTTAATCATGGTCACTTTTATGGAATATTAGGTACACTATGTAGGCCAGCGTGCTGCTTTATATGGTACCAAGGTCTGTATGTGTAGGAAGATGTGCTAACCTGTAGTAGGTTAAGTAATCACTTTAAGTGTGATAAAGACTGAAAACACAATTTCCAGACTTTGTTTGGAGATGGCATGTTTTATCTCATTCATGGGTTTAGGTATTTTACAAGGTATTCCTATCAGTATTCACTCATTTGATTCTCATCATCATTAGGTTACTTCCTAGCAGTTCATATCTCTTACCTGCTTTAGCCAGGGTAATCCTCTCTCTCCATGAACCTGCCCATTATTAGTCTTATCTTCTTAGTTTTGTTTATGCTATTTTTTTTTCTGCCATATATAACACCTTCTCTTCATTACTAGTCAATTAATTGAAATTCTATCCATTGGACAGTTAAGGGTCAGCTCAATTCTCATCTTTGCCAAGAATCTATCTCTGAAAATTCCGAACACATTGATTTTTTTCTGATTCCTAAACTCCATTGCATCTAATTAATAATTCATTTTAACACACAACGATGGGCTGTTTTGCTCTGGAACAAACTGACTTTCTCAAGATATGGTAAATCTCTTTGGTTAAATTGAAAATTCTTCAAGGTCAGAGAATGAATTTTATGTTACTTTTATACTCTGCAGAACATTTGGCAAAGTGATAGATGACCAGAGATGTCCACTAACCTCTTATTGAATTAAATCGACTGTAATTCTTCTTTGAAAATATGTTTTTATTGATTTTTTTAGGGAGAGAGGAGGGAGATGGATAGAGAGATAGAAATATAGATGAGAAACATGGATTGACTGCCTCCTGTACACCCCACACTGGGGATTGAGCCAGTTCTATTCCTGGGCATGTGCCCTGATCAGGCATCAAACCAGTGACCTCTTGGTTCATGGGTCAATGTTCAACCACTGAGCAATGCCAGCTGGGGTACTATAATTCTTGATTCTATATGGGCTCAGAAAATGTATGTATCTTTTAAATACTTATTCTTCATTATAAAAATAATATACTTAAAGCATCGTATTATCTGTGTCAAGAAGTTATATACTTTGTAAAAATTATTTTCTAATTACTGTTGATATACCATATTATATTAGTTTCAGTTGTACAACATAGTGAATAAACATTTACTTACCTTATGAAATGATCATCCAGGTACATCTAGTACCCATATGACACCACATATACTAGTATTTACTAAAAAATTATTGACTATATTCCTTATGCTGTACTTTACATCACCATGACTATTTTTATAACTGACAATTTGTGATTCTTAATCCCTTTTACCTTTTTTTTCCCCCCACAACCTCCAGCTTTCCTCCCATCTGGCAACTATTAATTTGTTCTCTGTATCTATGAGTTTGTTTCTGTTATGTTTGTTCATTTATTTTGTTTTTTAGATTCCACATATAAGTGAAATCATATGGCATTTGTCTTTCTCTGTCTGACTTATTTCACTTAGCATAATATCCTCTAGGTCCACCCATAATGTTGTAAATGGTAAGATTTCATTTTTTTATGGATGAATAATATTCCATTGTATACACAGGGGGAGCAAAAGTAGGTTTACAGTTGTAATACAAATAAATAATACATAAATAATGATACAGGAATAAGCTCTGTTTTGCATGCTCAGAAGAGATTAGCTTGCTGTTATAGCAGATTAAGCTATTGTCCAAAAACAATGTTCCAAAAGATGACTGACAAATTTTGATTATGACTCCTTTCCACTATATTATAATTTATAAACTATGTCAGAATAATATAATATGTATCTCAGTTGTGACATTATTGAATAACTATTATTTCTTTTGGCAAAATTTCATGAAAGAAAATAGAAAAAGATCTGGACAGAGTTGAAACTCTGGGAGAAAATTGAAGAAGAGGAAATGGATAGAAATAAAAGACTGTGTGTGTGTGTGTGTGTGTGTGTGTGTGTGTGTGTGTGTGTGTATGCGCACATATTGAATATTCC